ATTAAACAATGAGATGGCAAAAGACGATCATCCGGGCCCAAGTGGCAGTTAAATAACAGGCATAAACAATACGAGATGGTGACATGTGTCGAAAAATCTAACGAGGCGAATAATTATGCCCCATGCCTTCATACGTACCGGTAATGCCGTTGCATATCTTACACGAGTTCGCAGAGTTGTGCACTGATTCTATGATAAGCAGTTTGATCGTGTAGTTTTGCTGATAGAACGTGGTTGCATTAACCTCATCAGTGATCATTTTTTAGGGCGTGAGTAATAAAAGCACATTTTTTCCGGTTTATGACTTCTGATCGCTCCTTTATTTATGACTTCTGATCGCTCCGTTCATTATTTCTTGATTTATGAGTTCTAAAGCTTTTCGCTATCTAAGTGCATGCATTCAGGTCCTTAAATTTAGTAAGCTACGTTGTTGATTTGCATGCGAGAATGATGATTTAACTTTTTGTACAACATGGATTTCAACGTGCGCCCCTGGAGGAAAAATCGTTAGGATTATATGGTTTTAAAAATCTATGAATTTCTTCTGGTCTACCGGGAATATGCGCAATAATAGTTACTGGGGGCTGGATTGAAATGATTCTGATTTAGAACAGAATTTTTCCGGATATCCGTTTTCTGAAAGGTGTTACATAGGTGTTTCATCTCTTCTGAAAGAAGTTGGATTGCAATGCAGTATTTTTGTGCTGTAAATCATAATCATAATATCATAATGTTAACAAAATCCCTGCAAAAAAAGTGGAACGTGAAACCTTTTCAAATGTTGTAGTTTCTGTAAACTGGAAAGGTAAAGGTATTCAGCAAAGATTGCGCTGAATAAGAACATCAGGTCAATCAGAAATGGTTGTTAGTATGTTGCGAAACGAAATAACCTAATATTAAATTTAGAATATAAGTTTCGTGCAGTGAAAGAATATTATCTGCATAACGAAAATGGAAGAAGGCTTTAAACCCCAATCAATAGATTTTGAGTGCTGTCGTTTTAAAGTTATCCATGCAGATTGCTGTTAAGCCAGAGCTATATCGCAGGGTTTTCATTCCGATGATTGACAACAGATTTTATTTAATTGACAAAATCTTGAATAAACTCCTTAGAACAGTTTTCTATAAGCATTCTTTTCGGCTGTATAACAAGCCAGCGTTACAAAGGCTATCAAAGAAGCGCATGCGACTAATCAAGTGAACCTACCCCGTGGCCTCATTGGAAGTACTGCTTATTCTACCTCTTCTTTCGTTAAAAATAGCAACCCAAAATTGAAAAACGCAACTATCCCTTTAGCAAGCTGACACCATCCGATATCGTCTCCCTGATTAACATCATAAGGAAAATTCTTTTTTTCTCTTTTGACGGTGTTATATGCGAAGGTAGAAGAAAGGTGTTCCTGTAAGCGTAACTTTAGCAGCGATCTACCTGGACCACTTTGATTCGACAGCACTTCTAAACGCTGTCCCCTTGATTTCGTGTTAGTCTGTAGCAGTTCCACCGGATGTTCTTATGTTTAATTAAGCGGACAGGATTCAGCTATTGAGATGTGTTGTCCTCAGTAATGAGTACAGTAGAATTTAGTTACCGAGAAGCTAACACCGGAGGAACTGGCTCTTGGCGAGCTTTACATTCATTCGTCGAAATCGAGACGTGACCTCATCGAGTTCGGCTTCAACCGTTATGCGAATAACGACGAAGGTGTCCCCGACTGGTTCGCTGAGGAAGAGAAGCAATACTGTCGGCCGAATTTGCCTATCTCACGGGTAGGTCATGGCTTACTGCTGGAATTCGCTGGGTTGTAGATCAACTGACGTGAAACAATGATTTTAGGAGATGGTCGAAAAGTACAGGCTTCGTTTGCGAGAGATCAACGCCAGGCCCATTAAAAAAGTAGCCGAAGCAAAAGCCCGGAAGAAGAAGAGGGTGCGTTTTTAGTTGAATTTGGAAACTGTATTTCTTTGTTGTTTTATTTTCAGGCCTTGAGACAGTTGGAAAAAGCTAAAAAGAAAGCAGAAGGCATACTAGAAAGTGAAGGCATTACTGAAGCTGAAAAGGCTAAAGAACTCCGGAAGTAATCATGCTTTATTTGTTAGAATTCAGTTTGCCCGTCTAAGCGGTCAATTACTTCAGTGTGGTAAGGGTCCGTAAGAAAATATGATTCCTGAAATTTAAAAAATAGACAGTGTTCCTCAGGCGATTTTGAGTGATTGTTCTCGTACATGAAAAGTTCTTTTAATATTGCTATTCGTGAAATTCACCAAGTTTGTGCTGATGCATTGGAAAGTCTGAGTTCACAGTGTCTTCTAGGAATTTTCTGAGGTGGTCTGTGTCGTCAAAATTATCTTTCATTTGATCATATCTTACCGTAACGTCAAACAGTTAATTATCAGGTTGATCATTAATATTTCAGCTCTGCATCCCTAAATTAAGTATCCAGTGGTCAGTCATTTGTTGCTCCCACCTATTTTCCCTGAGCATGTTGTTGTTTACTGAATGATTGGCATTAAAGCAAAGAACGAAACGAGCCTTCTGTAATCACCGAATGACAAATATGTTCATTGAAGAAGAAATCACACTTATAAATGGATTTTTGCATCAACAAGGATCTTGAAATAAAAGTATTTCCATGCGTTCAGCTATCATTTTAATGCCAAGTTCGATTTTGAAGACCGCGTTACTATGGTGGTACCAATTTTAATGCTGACTGATTTTAGAGTATACCGAAAAATTGATCCAAGGAAACAGAAACGAGAAGTGACTTACGTCGTATCTAAGAAGGGACTTGGTCGCCGAGCGAGAAGACCACCTGGGATCAAGGGCAGGTTCAAATTGGTTGATCGTCGTTTGAAGAAAGACAAAAGGGGTCAGAAAGCGATGAACCACAAAAAACATCAGAAGAAAGCACGATGATCACCTGAACTGTTTCAAACCATTTTAGCCGCTTGTTGAACACTTTTCACTTCGTTGAGTTTTTTCAACGGTGTACGAAATTGTTTGCTTTATAAAAAGAAATCGAATTAAACTGTGATAAAAACCAGAATGGTTATTTGCAGCAGTAACATCAAAAGGATAAGATTGACAGCTTTCCGATT